GGCACAGTTCATGCACCTAGCATGGGTACTATGGGCATGGGAACTGGTGCTACAACTGTTGGAAATGGAGCTGCAGGGGCGACTGGAACTACGGCTGCAACTGGAGCAACCGGAGGCACCGGTACCACGGGCACAACCGGGACTGGAACCACAGGGACTGGAACCACCAGCACCGGAGCCACAGGAGGTGCAGGTCAGACGTATCGGCGTAATCTTCGCTCGGATTGAACGGGCGATTTGCTGGGCGTATACTTCCTAGCGAGATCTATGTTGTTGTCGATGAGTCTAATGAAGTTCTGTACAATTGTAGTGTAACTAAATATGCATTCTGTTGACCTCCATTGAAAATCATAGTTCTTCTTTGCGGGCCCCTTTTCTTAAAAAAAAAAAGAATAATGATATATGAAAAATTAAATTGTTTAACCCCTCCAGTCCGGCTGAAAAATGTGTATTTATCCAGCATATGCTGAATTATTTATCTAGAGTTTACTATGAAAAGGGTTGTGGTATAGAGGATTTGAAGATTGTGTAAGGCAAGGCGCATGCATATTTCAGCGCTTATGTAGCATGATTGAAACAACAAACGCCGTTGGAATCGAGATATGCATTTTTATTTGTGAACATAAAAGGTATATGTCCCGACTCCGGCAACAATCAATTTGTCAAAAATTTGAAAACTGACTTCCCATACTGAAACGAAGTCATAGAGAGTGGTGTACGACCATATCTATTTGTAATCATGTGCATCGAGGGTACTATTTTGTAAGTGCATGCGATCTGTTGACGTAGTGAATTCTAACGATTGATGAAGATACACTTCAATAATGAGTGTGTAAGTATGGTGATTTTGATTGAGAAGAAGTTTTTGCTATTCTGCATTATGCGCATTTAAACTTAAAATACTAACACTATATGCTGCGTATTACCTGCTAGTTTGGCGTCGAAGCTGGAGTAGTGCGTCTCTTTTTCCGAGGTGTAGAAGTTGGGGACAGCATGAGTGTCTTTCGCATGCGAATTGGCTGGGTAGACTCGGCGGGAATGAGCGCAACACACTTCCACTCATGGTGCCATATATCCCAACATGTCATTGCCACCCCGCGGATCTGTCGACGCGGCCGCACGCACAGAAATATCGGTCTATCCTCCTGACACTCGCCGCAGAATGACGCTGTCGTAGCGGCACGAGAATCCTTGGTTCGCAAAGCAGAATAGACCTTGCATGTTCGTTGACGACGCTTTTTTTTTGGGGTGCCTTCGTCGCGCCACTCATCGACAAGCTGAGCTGTATGCGTTGAGCGGTTTGTGTTTACCACCAGCGGGGTGATCTCGTTTCGTGTCTCGGATTGGGCACCAAACAAGTTCCCCTCGTACATGTCTACTTCTTGTAGCTGCACTAGTTGCATGTGCAGCCTCTTCAAATTCTTCACGTGAGAAAGCGGCTTTGAGGTCTTGTTCTTGTGGTAGGCTTTATGAATTATGTATCCATTCACGATGGCCATGTCTATAAGCCCCAACACTAGCGATTTGTAATACTTTCGAAACCGGATAGCACGTTGAAGTGAGTAGCGTTGAAGTCGAAGCTGATCATGGACATCCACGCCGCCCATGAAGGCGTGGTAATCCTTGATCACACGAGGACACGGGATCTCAGCTTGCTCTCCTTTGTCATCACAGCAGACCACTCGATCTACCGACAAGCTCCCACCGGTGCACAAGAAGTGGACAGGCCTTGAGTCCCATCAGCTTATTGCCGCCATACTAGGTACAAGTTTCGACCTCGCGACTTTGTGACTGCCACGCGGTATAGTTTCTGGTCGCGTCTTCTTCTTCTCAATAACCTCTTTGCAATATCAGATGCGATTTGTCATGATAGTACAAACGCAGTTTAAGCCCATCAGCAGCAACTGGATAGCTAGAGCGACTGACGTGTAGAATCGATCTACGACAATAAGCCGCATACCTTCGGCTTTAGCGTTTGAGGCAAAGACAGCAAGCAAGTTACTGACCACAGCCGCGGGGCCAGACTTCATATCCGGTTTATGAGCATCACTGGTATGCTGCTTTTTGCCGCAATAAACTTCAAACCTGAATATATGCAGGATAACACAAAATAAATATCAGTCATATTGCGCATAATGCTACATAAGAATTCTGTACAGCCAAAAAACAACATACCAAATGCAATATGCCGTCACGGCACTGCAGAGCATGAAGAGTTTTGTGCCCCACTTGTGGGGCTTGTCCTTCATGTAGACTCTCATTTTGTTGAAGCTTGAGCGGTTCGGCAAAATGGCTTCATCAAACGCAAGTTCTGCTGGCGGCACGTATCCATGCTGAAATGTTCGTTGCAAGACTTCGACCACCTTCCTGATCTTTCAAGCTCGATCAGTCTTGGCCCGAGGGTCGTTGTTCGGATTGAAGTGCCAGTTCCTCGATTTCTCCCAAAATCGATCGCGGCTCATGTACGTTCCAAAAGCTCCATGCAAAATAGCACCCTTGTCTACCACTTTCCAAAGATGAGCGAGTTTTTCTCTGTTCGGCATGATAGCACGAGCAATTAGAAGTCCGATGAATCGGCACAGCTCATGGGGCATGATAGGGCGCATACCACGGAGTTCTTGCTTAATGTCACGCTTCGTCTTTCTGGGTAGGTCAGGTTGAGCCCGCCGCTTCAGTTTGTACCGCCGATGGGCTTCGTCCACTCTGTGCGGAAGCATCTCTTGGTTGTATTGGTTGCTGCAAACAGCAACAGGCTGCCAGAGAATGACAGGCATGAAGAAAAAAATAGCGCCAGTGGGGAATAACCGTGTCGCAGCGCTTCTGCAGTAGGACCAGAATATCCATGCCTCAACCCAGCGTAGCTGCCTCTGTTGTCAACTGGTTTGTGCGGCTCCTGCATGTACTCGTACGTCTCCGGCTCGTTGACGTCTTCCCAACCACATGCTGACATCTCCCGGAGAACATCAGCACGTAGATTTCCACTGATAACGCTGCCCTTTCCTCCAAACCGCTGAAGGAATCCTTCAGCAAACTGTACTTCACTCGCAATTTGCTCCGGTGACAGCTCCGAGATGTCATTTTCATCCATCAATCGACCACTTTGCTCCTCATCACTTTCATGTTCCTCCACGTCATCCTTTTCTGCTTCATCCCCCGACTCCATTGCGCCCAACTAAGCTCCATTCTCATCCGCGAGGGTAACGTTCAAACAGTCCTCATTGCCGGCCAGTATCGCGTCACCTTGGGCCTCCACTTCGCTTTCACTGACGCCTACAAGTAATGATATTCAGTTTAGTTCATATGCACAATAACATTCAGTATATCATACAACATAATATGCAGCACAACATGCAGCATAGCGTCCCATTGTCGTGGTTTTCCGTAGGGTCGTCTGCGGTGCTCTCATCGTCTGGGGTATAGCTTGCGTCGTCTTCGCACGAGGCATCGTCGTCATCCCCCGTGTTGTCGTCGTCTGAATCAGACATGTGCGGTGACGTCGGAATGAGTATCTGCCGTCTTCCGGAACGACGTCCGTAGTTACAGACACGTGCCGTCTCTGACGAGTTCTCACCAGCTTGTAGGCCTCCCGATGGAGCCGGTATCGTCAATCGAGCTGGCGTTGGAACTGCAGCTAGTGTCGGCACTGGAGCTGGTGTCGTTACTGGAGCTGGTGTTGTTACTGGAGTTGGTGCCGTTACTGGGGCTGGCGTTATCACTCGAACTGGCGTCGTCACAGGTGCTGGTGCCGTCACTAGAGCTGGCGTTGTCACTGGTGCTGATGGGGGAAACGACTGCTCGCTAGGTGGCGTAGACTGCATATGCGTTCCAGAATCTGGCTGCACCGTTGCCGTATCCTGCATATGCGTATTAGGGGTCGACCGTATGCGCTCTGCATTCATTTGTATACGTTAGTACAGTCCGTGTAAAGCAGAACAAGAGCCGTACCATAAACGTAGTTGTCAAACACTGCATCCTCGCTTAGAAAGTAGTCCACACCAGCCTGCCCGCTCGGGTTACCGCCTGGTCGTACGTAGCGGAACTGCGTCTCAAGGTTACCCCTCGTTGGCTTCTTCACCTTCCATCCTTCTCTACGGAGCTCGCGCCAAATCGTTGTCCACTTCAGGCCTGGAGGCTTGCGAGCAGTTTTTCCTACTGCAGCGACCATCCCTTCTGCTTCTGTGCTCTGCGACGAAAATTTCCGAATGACTGGTGGCTGGAAACGTTCAGACAAAACCTTTATCAATTTATGTCCAACTTTGAAACATAATTTTTTGAAAATGTGTCTATGTCACCTGTGCTAAACTCAACCCTACATATGGTGAGGCTTTCCATTCTTGGTCAAATTCATCACTTTTGGTTGACTTGATCTAAGTATGGGCTAGGATGGGAAAAAAACTGGTATACAAATTTTAAGTCTAAAATAGCCTTATCCAGCATTATGCTGGACATGAATAGGGCCTAATCTGCATTATGCAGCAAGCCGGACTGGAGGGGTTATCTCGTGTTTGGTAGACTCAAGTATTATCTTACAGCATTTCTTCAACATCCGCGTTATCATAATAATGTTTCAAATGCTGTAAAATAATACTTGAGTCAAGCCGCATACATTGCAGGATGTAAGCGAGGCATCTGAAGTAATTCTGCAATGAACATTCCAATTTGGAGCACGAAAGCTATCCAACACCAGAAACCTAATTTCGTACGTTAAGAGTCAAACCACTACCTAATTTTACATGTCAAACTGATCTTACAAAATGGAGATTGTCAACAAAAGAACCAAAGTTTTTCTCCAGGCGATTGTACGTCATCAAATACGTACGAAGTCTAGTGAAAGGCGGTCTATCCACCGAGGCTGCCATCGCAAAGGCTGATACGGAGCGAGGCCACAGAAGCATTGACAGATTTTCAAATGGCTGCGCAAAAAAAAACAGGATATTAGATCCATACATACTATTATGCATTTTTTCTACTTCCTCCGGTTGATAATGATCACCGAAAAATACATTTTCGTTTCTACATTGAATTAGACACTACAGATTGGTTTTAAAAGCAGTCTCCTCTTTCCAACGCCACCCGTTTCATAGCAAATGGAGTCCTACAGCCGCCTCTACGTCATTTTACAAACCGTTACTTCCGGATTTACGCCGCAGTGACACCCGCTACGCCCGAACTACCTCGACTCTCATCACCAAAGCATGACCAAGCCAAACCTTAGTGACATAGAGCGGAAAGCAGCCATCGATGAGCTTCTATGGATCAGTATCAACGGTACACTGCCTCGGGGAACATACGCAAAGGTTGCAACTGGTATGGGGTGCGACCCGACCACTATTAGCGCTATCTGGAATCGGTACGCTGCCACAGGTGACACAGGCGTCCGAGGAGGTGAATGGATAAGCAGGATTAAGAAGAACAGCGGAAGAAAGCGAAAAAATCGAGACGAAGTGCGCGAGAAGCTGGCTTCTGTCCCTATCGAAGACAGGTCTGTTGAAAGGCGGGCTGCGGCCAGTGCCGGACTCTCCCGCTACATGGTGCGGCAGGCAGTGAAGGAAGTCGTCCTTGCACGGCGGATGCCGTTCGTCAAGCCAGCATTGACGCCAAACAGCAAGCTAAGGCGCGTCGAGCATGCCCTCTCTTTTGTAGATGATAGGACGCTGCAGTTCGAACCCATGTATAACATGGTACATGTTGATGAGAAGTGATTTTATGCAGACCCAAACAAGCGTTCGTACCTTTTTTAGAAGGCTAAGAGCTTCCTTCCCGGGTGTGGAAGAGCAAGCGGTTCATCCCTAAAACCATGTTTTTGGCTGCATTAGCGCGTCCACGGTAAACTCACTATTTATTTTTATTTTAAAAATAATAACCTTCATTGTTTTGGTTAGGTACGACCCTCACCGGAAACAGGAATGGGATGGCAAGGTCGGAATCTGGTCTTTTACAGAGACTTATGAAGCCAAACGACGATGTAAAAACAGAGACAAAGGAGCGCTTTGTACCCGCAATATCGACTCTGTCGACCGTAACGTGTACAGGGACTACTTGCTCGAGAAAGCGATTCCTGTAATCAAAGCAAAATGGCGCAGGAAGGAAGCCATCAAATTATCTTCGTACAACAAGATAATGCCAAGCCGCATGTGCCACCATCGGACCCAGCCATCCTCACCGCTGGAATAGAAGGTGGATGGAACATCAGACTGTTATGTCAAGCGCCGAATTCGCCAGAATTCAATGCGCTGGACCTGGGCGTCTTCAACTCGATGCAGTGCATTCAGCACCACATCCCCAGGAAGGACACCAAGGCCCTCATTGACTCGGTCGAATCGGCGTTTCAGCAGCTGAAACCCCACACGGTGAATGACATCTTCCTCACGCTGCAGGCGTGCATGCTTTGTATCCTGCAAAACGAGGAGGGGTTGTATAAACTCCCACATTTAGGGAAAGCCAAACTCCGGACGAAAAAACGTATTCCTGTCAGTCTAAACTGTAGTAGAGAGCTGTACGAAGCTGCAATAGCATTATTGGCCTCGGCAAACCGGTGCAGTGCTTTACTGTATGGCGCTTAATAGATCACTTCAGTCACTGTATAACTCAATGCAATAATCACTGTAAAAAAAAAAACTGGACCTGTCATATTAACTTCCGGTGGTGACCATTATCAACCGGAGGAAGCAATACACACGAACCGGTTCAGCGACAGTTCTGTTCTGCGATACGATTATAATCTCTTTTTTAGCGAGCACCGCGTCCAATCCACATACACATTACACAGTGCAAGTTAGAATAAATGTATAGCACCAGTCATCGATAATCGCTGCATTCTCTCTCGCTCTGCTTAGATGTGCGCTTCGACGCCACGAAGTCCTCAACGCAGGCGCTGATCGACGCCGATTCTAGGTCACCCGACTTAAACAAGTTCTTCACACTAGATTTTATTCGTGCCTGTAGAACAAGAAACACGATACGTATGAAATAGTTACACGTAGTGTCGGTAAAACTGGTTGAACCTTCATTAGGAGTAGCAGGGGCAGTTATCCTGGTTGGAGTGGCCTAATGACGGAGTTCGTGCCCAGTATATGAGCCGCCTTCTTCTGTTTGACCTTAAGGGGCGTTGTCATCCAGCCACAAAAGGCTCTCGAAGCGTCGAACGCTAGTATAGCAAAGCTCGTCATCTGTCACATCGGGGTACGTCGTAGACGCTAGCTTCAGCGTGGGTATGGCGGGAGAGCCTAGCCAACAGGCGTCCTCAGCTAATCGGCGTGTTGCGTGATCTGTGAAGGGCTGAGGGGACCAGGGATTAGCGCTTTACTAGAGTCAGTGTTGTGTCTCTCTTGGTGGTGGTTTTCAATGAATGAGAGTCGCAAGTCTAGGTCTAACTAATCAGAGCTCAGTATTCGGGTCTCAGACCTTTTCTTGATATCTGTGCCTATCTCGATGAAAACATCTGATAACTTAGGATACCAAGTCTCAAGGTCAGGACCTAGTCGTGACTTTTCCGTTTATAATTGAGTCTACCAAGCACGAGTTAAACAATTTTTTTTCAAATATCATTATTCTTTTTTTTTAAGAAAAGGAGCCCGCAAAGAACAATGATTTTCAATGGAGGTCAACAGAACGCATATTTAGTTACACTACAATTGTACAGAACTTCATTAGACTCATCGACAACAGCATAGATCTCGCTAGGAAGTACTAGTATACGCCCAGCAAATCGCCCGTTCAATCCGAGCGAAGATTACGCCGATACGTCTGACCTGCACCTCCTGTGGCTCCGGTGCTGGTGGTTCCAGTCCCTGTGGTTCCAGTCCCTGTGGTTCCAGTCCCGGTTGTGCCCGTGGTACCGGTGCCTCCGGTTGCTCCAGTTGCAGCCGTAGTTCCAGTCGCCCCTGCAGCTCCATTTCCAACAGTTGTAGCACCAGTTCCCATGCCCATAGTACCCATGCTAGGTGCATGAACTGTGCCTGGCCCGCTCATGCCAGTACCGGTGCTTGTGCTCGTTTTGCTGGCGCCACCGCTCATGCCGCTCATACCAGGAATCATGTTACTGAGGCTCGACAGACCCCCTCCACTCGTGCCAGAGGTACCACCGCCCATGCCTCCCATGCCTGGGATCATCTTGGTGAGACTGGAGAGACCACCGCTCATTCCACCCATGCCGCCACCCATGCCGGGGAGGCCACCACCCATGCCGCCACCCATGCCGGGGATCATCTTCGTGAGGCTAGAGAGGCCGCCACCCATGCCTCCCATGCCACCTCCCATGCCAGGGAATCCACCCCCCATGCCCGGAAACCCACCGCCGAACATGCCGAACGTTTGAGCAGCTTGTTCTTCCGCGCGAACTCCATTCGAAACTGCCACGACAGCCACGACCAATGTGAAGATCTTGTTACTACTAACCATCGCTGACTGGAGGAGGTCGTTCTTGGTGAGAGGAATGCTAACACTTGCGCCGAATCACCGAGCTCGCTTGATGGCAGATTCAGAAATGAGCGAATGGTAAATATTTGACGTCGGAAAACAATCGAGCTTCGTCAAAGTGAAAACAAAGGGTAGCTCTTGATAGACTGATCGTCGATAGATGATCGCACTCACAGTGACTGTGTGTGCGGCACAGACTCTACGTCAAGATGCAGGTCTGTCCTTTGTTATTCGTTACCTCAGTTGGTGGGATCGTCAATCGCACGAGAATTGGTATCAAGCGAGCAGATTGATAATCTCGATGCATGTCAGCCATCCACACACGGACAAATTCCGTTGTCAGCTCAAACAGACGTGCACGAAGGTATCTTACCGGAACGATCAGTGATTGGGATTTGACTTCAACCTTGAGAATACAAATGCTAGTATAATAGACGGGTCTGCGTGTTTCTGACTGCCACCACAGCCTCTGGCATATGAAAAACGCTGCTACTTGGCTATTGATATTCGCGTGTCTAGTGCTATGGACTAAGATGCACCACCAGCGGTCGATTCCCGGTATTGACTGTACGCAGAAGTATTGTAGCGAGGGACTTCGTTGCTGTTACACCGCAATTGACCGCACACGTAAGGATGTTACCAGTTATGAAGGCGATAACTGTCTGCATTCCCCACTGACCAAAAAGACCGAGGCTACAAAGCACAGATAAGAAAGCGTAAAGTGCACCAACCAACTGCCCGCTCAATAGATCGCGCGGCAGTGAGACCGTAAACACCAATCGAACAGCGCTAACCACGAATTCACCGTGTAGAGCGCACAGCTGTATAGTCAAGACTGCAACCATGAACCTACGAATGTTGACCCTCCTAGCGCCATTTATCAAGCTCACCTTGCTGTTATTATACACTACTCTTGTCTTTGAGAATGCTACAGCTATCGGGTGAAGTTCTGCATATCAACTTTAACGCCTATCCAAATCTACTTGATCGCGTCAAGCTCGTGCGCTACAACTCTCACGTCATTCTCAATTTCACTCCTTCGAGCTCATCCACTCGAACCAACTTCCCCAAGAGCAAGATCTCTACTCACTTCATTGGACCAAGCCTCCTCTTCAACAACCATGTTCAGCAACAACAAGATCTTCGCTCTCTGCATCGCCGCTGTGGCTCTCTCAAGTGGTGCACACGCCGAACAGCAAGTGGCCGAGACGTTCGGACTACTCGGTGTCCCTGGCGTCGGTGTCGGAGTGGGTGTTCCAGGTGTGGCTAGCGTCGGAGTGGGTGCCCCCGGATACGTCGGTCCAGGCGTTAGTGTCGGCGTTCCGGGCGTTGCTAGCGTTGGTGTGGGCGTACCTGGTGTCGTGGGAGTAAACGGCGTTGGAGTTGGCGTGAATGGCGTTGGTGTTGGTGTGGGCGTTCCGGGTGTCGCTAGTGTTGGTGTGGGTGCTGCTCCTGCTGTTGGAGTGAACGGTGTCCAGGTCGGTGCACCTACCACCGTTGTTAACGACGGTGTCGACGTGAGTGCTGGAACCGGCACAAGCAAGTCTGTGACCGTGACGAGCGATGGTGGAGCCAGTACTGCGAAGACGTCGACCGGCACGGGTGGTGCGTCGGCCAGTGCTACTGCAAGCGCCTCTGCGAATGCGAACGCGAACGCTGGTGCAAAGGCCGGCACGACTTCCACCTCTCAGAAAGCGTACCGCAAGCTTCGATCGGAGGAGTGAGCGGGACGCGGAGTTCATGTTTCTTTTGTGTTGGGAAGAGATTTTCTATGTAGGATTGCCTTCCTCGTTGTAGTGTAATCTAGTGCTGTTGATAAACAAAACAAGCGTTGGTCGCCAATTGATGTTGCTACTGTTAAATCGTCTTTTTAGCTGTGGATTACACTTTCTGGCTACAGTATTGACTCTTTCGCCGTTGTATCAGATTAACTAAGCCTTCCAAATCTAAGTTTATAAAATTGGAAAAGGGAATCAGGCTTCCTTTACCATATTACGGTACTATCGCCCCTAGAGATGCGCATTCGTATCTATTTGAACACGACCTGGATCATGTAGACGACAGCCCAAAACACTTCAACCACTTCGAACAGCGAAAACGACGGATGATATCCGCCACCATGCAGGACCACTGTCTGCTCCTTCTCATGAAAAGCATGGCGACTACCGGATAAGAAACTGCCAGATGGCTCACGTTAGTCGAGCTAGCGACCAAGTCGCCTTTGCCATGCCCGCAATCGCGAGAACGAGCGATGAAATTCATGCTGGAAGCCCCAGCACCCACAGATTTCTTTGCACATGGTACTTCTAGTACCCCCTCCCGGTAATTCTTGCTAAACTGGCGGCGGGCTGGTGGACAATGCACAGGTTCCTCGATGCCATACGCTTCCACCACCTCTTTCGTTCCTCTTTCATCCACGCTCGCATTAGTCGGGTTGGTTCATTTCTAGTTCTTCGTTGTACAGCTCACAGTACATCGTAGCACAGAGCAAACACAAAATCGCATCAAGGTCCTCTCTTACACTTTACGACGCTTTCGCTTCAAGTTCTCAATGATGTTCATCAGCAACAAGCTTCTCGCGTTGGTTGTCGCAGCTGTAGCCGTCTCAAGTGGCGCTCACGCCGATCAAGAGGTGTCCGAGACGTACGGCGGCGGTGGTGGTCTCCCCGGTATGAGCGGCGGGCTACCGAGCAGGAGCGGCGGTCTTCCGGGCATGAGCGGTGGTGGCCTGTCTGACTTCACCAAGATGATCCCCGGTATGGGCGGAACCGGTACTGGAACCAGCGGTGGGCTTCCCGGCATGAGCGGTGGTCTGTCAAGCCTCACCAAGATGATGCCGGGCGTCGGCGGAACTGGAATGGGCGGAGGTTTGCCAGGAATGGGCGGTGGTCTGTCGGGTCTCAGTAAAATGATCCCTGGCGCCGGCAGTACTGGCGGTGGTCTCCCGAATTTCAGCAACATGATCCCTGGAATGGGCGGGGCTGGAACTAGCGGTGGTCTCTCTGGACTGAGCAAGATGATTCCTGGTGCTGGAGGCAATACCGGAACGGGAGCATACGGACCAGGAACCGTTCACGCACCGGGCACCGCCACTGGAGCTTCTGGAACCTCTGGCACGACGAGCACAGGAGCCGGTGTGTCCGGCACAACCACGACTGGGACTCCAACGAGCGGTGGTACAGCTAAGACTGCCAGTTCTACAGCCGGTACCTCTGCCGGCACTACAAGTACTGGAACCGGAGCTACTGGTACGGATGCGACTGGAACATCTCCCAAAACGTACCGCAGCCTACGCTCCGAATAATTACATTGGGCTCAAGTTTTTGCGTGTGTGAGAATGGAGGAAGTAGTGAGATCGTTCCTCTTACTCTTAGTATTGTTGTAGTATTGTTCAAGAAATAATACATGTCAAACGTTGCAAATGATATGGCTTTGGTGGGCACCGTACAATTGTATCTTGGCTTCACCTGGTAAGTCAAACCTGTTAGTAACCTCGGTTGGTAAGTGTTGTGCCGAATTATTTACGCTCCTTACGTGTAATAGCCTGCAGGGCTTTACGGAAGACCTATCAAAGATACGCTTGGTTCGTACACAAATGATGTACTGTGGTTGGTATCTTCGTGAAAAACAGAATTCATTGTTTTACTAATTATTACTGGTACTATCCGCTTTCAATAGCTTTATCGTTTATGGTCTGTTCGAGTAGTCACCTTTTTAATGTCTATCGTCATAGATGACGATATGTTTTGTTAATTTGGCAGCATGACAAGATGCCCACCCGCTTGTTTGTATCCTTCACGAGGCCTAATCATCAGAAACGACAATGTTAATGTCGTGGTCGTAAAAAAATCACGAACCCGTTGGTGGATGGTCAATCAGATTGGCTGTTCGACGTGAAGACCTCGCGACGTAATACTCTTTACTTTTAAGAAAAACGTTTGGACCGGCTTAACAGTCCGCGTTAACGGAACAGCAAAGCACAAATAGAGAGCGTACACGTATACTTCAAAAGGACATGGTTTATCGAAATAATCGATAGCTGCATCTACTCTGGAGTTGGTTACGTTGTGTTCAAACTTGCCGTGTAGGAAGAGGATGCTGCTGCCGACCACGCGCTCTCTCGAAGGAGTCTGGCATACACTCCGTCCTGGTTCTGGAACAGCTCCGAGTGTGTACCTTGGTCCACAACTTGGCCATCTTGAATCACATAAATTAAGTCTGCGTTCCTAACCGTGGCGGACTCTGACGGATGAGTTGCAATCACAGTCGTTCGACGTACACGCTGGGCGACGACCGTGTCGAGCGCTTGTTGGACTGCAATCTTCTCACTCTCTGTCCCCAGAGATCGGGTGGGTTCATCCAGCAGCAGAAGCCGGGTGTCTTGAAGCACAGCGCGAGCGAGAGCGATCCGTTGTCTTTGACTAGGAGTGAGCTGAAGTTTACCGCCTACACGAGTCCCATAACCCTCTGGAAGCCTCGATATAAAGGCGTGAGCGTGCGCCACTTCAGCAGCACTAATGATCATGTCCAGAGTCGGTGGTGCTGCCATTCCGTACGCGATATTCTCTGCGATCGTACCTAAGAACAACGTCGGCTCCGAGCCAACAAAACTCACTTGAGCACGCAACCACGACACGTCCAGAGTACGAATATCCACTCCGTCCAGCATCACTCGACCACTGTTTCCTGATTTGGAAGCCAAGTCGTAGAAGCCTTCAATGAGAGCAAAAATCGTCGACATCCCGGAACCTCGTGGCCCACATAGCGCTACCGTTTGTCCAGCTGCAACGCGAAATGAAAGATCCTTAAGAACAATAGAGCTTGGTTGACTGGAGTGCGCGAAGCGAACGTTATGAAACGCGACACTTCCTCGTAGCATGGGGCTCTGCGGCATTGGATCTCGTTCTCCATCTGAAACAGAAACCTCGTTGGATCCACTAATGACAATAGCAGCATCTCGTGTAGCAAAAATACTGGCGCCAGCCTGCAACGCTCCATCAACTCTGGCTAACCAGGCTACAGCAAGACCCAGCGACTCTGCTGACACGATCACAACGACCAGAGAGCGCAGCAGCTCTTGGAGGGTAGCGTCTCCGTAATGTACTAACACGCCCCCTAACCAACAGGATAGAGCGCATGTAGCTACTGTAACTACAGCACCAAAACCCCTTCCAACCGCCTCGAGATGATCTTGTCGCCTGATAGCTTGCAGTGGACGCTGTAACAGAGCATCAAAGCTGAAACACCACGAGTTCTCGAGTCCCAGTATCACCACAGCTCGACGATTTCGAAGAGCTTCGTTCACGTGGATCTCCACAGCCTCCTCGGTTGCATTCTGTGTATTTGTCGTCTTTAAACGCTGAAGATTATGGATAGTATGGCCGATAAGTAGCAATGGAAGAGCTGCTAGTAGCACAAGTGCGAGCATCCAACTTCCTCTCCAAAATGCGACAATGAACGTGGCTGTCAAAGTGCAGAATATCTGGAGCTTGTACCCTTGAACTCGGCCGACCACCAGTGATGCAGTAGACGCCTGTGTAGCAAGAGATTCGACCAGTTCATTAGTATTATACTGCTCGAAATATGGCAATGGCTGAGCCAATAACGAGCTGAAGTGGAGATCTCGAAGGTGCGAAGCCACACGCTCCGCTGCAGCGTCCAGACAGAAGAGTTGAATGCTTTGGGACACCACGATGACAGCCGCTCCTGCACTCAAGAAGAGTCCATACCTCATGGCAAGAGGACGTAGTGTTTGGACGAGACTCCTAGCGTCGAATGTCTCGAGAAACGCCGTGTGTTGCTGAGCCATGTCAGCGACCATCTCACTGATCAACACGCCCAATAGTGGTCCTCCAAGACCGACTATAACTGAAGCAGCGAGTCCAAATGCCAACAACTTCCGCTCTGGTCGAGCTAGTGCTTTAATGTCTCGCTTCGTGAGCTTCGTAGGCGAAGTAGGCGCTGATTTTGTCAATTGTTGCTGCTTTCGTTGTGGTTCTTCGGTCAAAACCTGCTCTCTTACAGTACTCTGTTGGATGAGATGCAGTCGTCGATAGAAGCTGTTACCACGTTGCAATAGTTCCACATGAGTACCCTGCTCCATAACTTTCCCCCTCTCGAGAACCACGATTTTGTCGGCGTATTGCACAGCTGCAGTTCGTACTTGACTCGTACAGAAGAGCATGGTCATGCTCCCAGCACCCACAGCTCCTCCAAACCTCGATAAAAGTTCTTGAGGACTCAGCATAACTTCGTCCAGTAGCAATAATTTCGGTTCACGTATCAAAGCTCGAGCCAGAGCGATTCTCTGTCTCTGTTGAACTGTGAGCGTCACAGTTCCATTCTCTCCGACGCGAGTGTTGTAGCCATCAGGTAAAGACAAGATAAAGTCGTGAACATCTGCACGTTGCGCCGCGTTGATCACTCGCTCCTCCATTCGGTCAGAGTTTCGACCACTCAAGTCTCGTAGTACTACTAGTCCCATGGCGATATTATCGAAAATGGAGGCTCTGAACAGTGTTACATGTTGCGGTACAAGCCCGAATTGAGCTCGCATCCACGTGGAATCCAACGCGTTAGCCTCCCGTCCATCCAGTAGTATAAGACCCTGTGAAGGTTCATATAGTCGCATAAGCAGCATCAATAGTGTCGATTTGCCAGCTCCACTTTCGCCAACGATGGCTACACATTCTCCAGCTAAAACAGAGATATTGCAGCCTCTTAACACGTGAACATTGGGTCGTCTTGGGTATGAAAAGTATAGATCCACTGCCATTATCGCACCGGAACATGAAGCAGGTCGAGGCAGTGGTTTCATGACGTTGTTTTGACGTTTTGTCGCGGTTTCCAGCTGTAAAAACAGCCCAGATGCTGCGTTTTTGGCTTTGACTACAGCTGAAAAACTTAGAATCAAATGACCCAGTGCGTGGCTTCCGATGATGACGCCTAGAAGTGCTGCCAATACTTCTCCAGGCTCAGCTTCAGTATCGTACACTTTCTTCCCGCCGTACCAAAGACCAATAGCACTCATAATCCATAACGTTCCAGTCAAAGTGGCTTGCAAGGCTGCGTGTCTGCCATGCTCGAGAACTCGTTGTTTCTCTGTGATTCGAACACGAAGCGCGTGCTTTTCACGCACTCTACGCTGCGCATTAAGCGCCAATAGCGTCTGTATGTTGCTTAGTGCCTCGGTTGCCACAGCGTCCGCTTCGTTTTCCGTCGTGTTTTTACTTTGTTTTAACGTCAAAATGACGCTGACGACCAGTGGAGAGACACAAGATATGGCGAGTGACAAGTCCCAGAGCGTAATAAAAGCCACGATGAAACCTCCGAAAAACTGTAAAGTAAATCTACAAACCGCTCCAAGCTCCGGTCCCAGCCCTTGGCGAATAGTAACAACATCTCGCGTCATTTCAGCGCCGAAATGTGAAACACTGGACTTGTTAAAATCGAACCACGACTGACTTTTTTCCAGAAGAAGATGACGCAGTAGTTGCTCCCTCAACGCTCTTAACAGTCTCTCCGAAGCGTGCGAGAGACACAAGTGAGAAGCATACGCAGTCACGCCCAGTGCCAAGGACAAGAGCATCAACGTTAGAGCTGCAAAGTCCACTTTGTGACGATCATATGGAGTAAATGCAGCGATACTGGACTGCACTTGTCTCGCTAGCAATGCCCACAATGTGCCGTGGATCGTCGCAGCCAATAATCCCATAGTCATCACGAACAAGTCACGGCGCGTAGATAACCGAATCACGAGCTGTCGTAGCGTCACGGAGACAGGCTCAGGCTTCTCGTCTTCGACTGCGCCGCGACCTTCTCGAAGTTCCCGAAGGGCATCGGTGATCGCTGTGGCTCGACGGAAACGGCAGTCTTGCGAGTTCCACGTAGCGTTTTGCGCTCGATTGGACGGAAGAACGACGCCTGTAGTAGGTATCATACGCTTGACAGACTCGACGGGCATCGACAGCAACGCGTAGTCACCTCGACTGGAGTTCGAGTCTAGAGCATCGACATCCACCTCGCGATCGTCGCTGTCGTCGAAGAGTTGGCTGCTGTTGAAGCTGACCAAGCTGTCGGTGCCTGCGAATCCGCTGCTATAGCTGCTGGAGAAGCTGCCACGGCCTCCGCGAGGATGTGGAGGCCCAGGAACTGCGGACAATGACGGCAGTTCCATGGTTTCGTCCAACAGAGGCTCGTCTTTGAGGAGCAGACGCATGGACGAGAAATTCAACAATGGAGAGAGAAGACGTTCCTTTAAATTGTCGTCATCTAAGGGAAGCGGGACGGGGGTGGATCTAGCGGCATCTTTCGACAAGAGTGCCACCCTGCATAGCTGGAAATGCGAATGTAGCCATCAAGTCAGTATTCGACTACTTAATTTAAGTACAGAAGTATTATAATAGTGACAAATAAGTTAGACACCTCCACCGGTATTGTGTATTGCAAAAGTGATTCATGATTTTCGTAAGACAAAACTTATTGTTTGACAGACAGCGTCCGACATTTGCTCTTACTTTTGGCCATCAACGTGATTTGATGATGTCAAATTTGACTTGCATCCACTATACGTATTATTTAATGAAAGTATTTTGTTCAAACACAATTTTTGTTTGCCAAAACGTAAGACACTGCGTCGAACTACTCTAGTGACACTGCCATTGGCTGAAAAAAAAGTCGAATCCTTTATTTTCTCACCTTCTAATGGAGTCCGCCCCCCACAGTTACCCACCAAGCCACGCCACGCCTAGTGACGGTGACGGCGACACTGAGCAGCTACCACCTCCTGCTACCTTGGCTGCCCAGAAAGAGCCTCTTACCGCCGAGAATGCACGAAAAGCATGCACTTCATCCCGAACTCAGGCCGCATACCGAAGTTATTTACGCGGAATCGCAACATGGATTCGGGAATCTCAATCAGACCCCGAACGCTTTTTCGATGACGCCGGCAATATTGACATAAATGTATTTTCTCCAAAGCATTTCGAGGCATTTTTGGTTGCCAAGATGAATGCAAGTGGCCGTGTCCTCAAAGTGACTACGCTAGGCGGCTATCGGAGTGCGGTGAAGGACATTTACAGGCAGAAACGGGTGGCTCTTCCGGTAGAGTATGCAGACGATATGAAGACGCTGTATCAGGGATTTAAGAGAGTTGAGGCTACAAGAAACCAAGCCGGTGCTGGCGAGGCTAAGATGGCCGGTAAAATGGCGCTGCCATACTCTACATACACACAGGCCTGCAAGGAGACGCTGGTGCTTTCGGATGGAGGTTTTTCGCATTTATATCTTACGCTTCAGTGGAACCTAATGTGTAGGTCACAATCTGTGGAAACTATTAACTCCGGCCATCTGAGTAACGAGGACGACAGCATTGGAATTGTATTTCACAAGAGCAAAGCCAATCAGGACGGCACGGGACCTAAAGATCCTCGCCACGTGTACGCAAACCCACTGGCCCCTAGAACGTGCTGCATAACTGCGTTAGGAATTTACTGGTCTTGTCATCCACGCCAAGGACCAGGTCCGATTTTTCCTGGGGCGCTACAGCGCAATCGCTTTCGAAAAACGTTTGGTCGAGCATTGGACAAGCAAGACAGTGAACATGACTACGGTACACATTCTATTAGAAAGGGTGTGGCTACATACGCCTGCAATGGAAGCACCGGTGGACCGTCGATTGTAAGTGTGTGCCTGAGGTGTGGGTGGTCTTTGGGAGGCGTGCAAGACCGTTATTTTCGCTATGAGGCCGCAGGTGATCAATTTCTAGGCAGGGTGGTGGCGGGGCTTCCTGTGAACAGCGCTCAATTTGCAAGTCTACCGCCGCATTTCAAGGACAACAACTGTCCCATTGTTCGTGAGGGCGTGATAAGTATGTTCCCGGCTTTTGCAGAAGACACGAGGTTACAGCCAATTCTGAAGCTGTGCTTGGCCTCTCTAGCCTACCACTATGATTTTTTGTCGACTGAACTCCCAACAACACATTCTCTTCGAGCATCAAGTCTATTTCGACGTTGTAATCTGCATCAGTCTTTATCTGACCAACTTGTTCAGCTTGAATCGCCCTGGATGACGGCGACTGGAATTCCACCCCAAGTTGTGATGTTTGGGTTACAAAAGGAAATACAAGCGACTGTATGTGCTCTACCTGAGTCTCTGGCTAGGCGGTTCGCAAAGCTACTCGAAGAAAAAGGGATCTGTGGGAATGGCATCAATCAACAGCAGATGGAGGACACAATGCATAGGGTGTTAGATGAACGCGTTCCTCAGTACTCGCGTGCAATTCATCGTGAAGATGCTCCCCCAAGAGCAACCCTTCACTTCTGGCCCAGCGACGGCAAACTTCACGCGCTTCCCGAAAGCTTTGATTTTCCGAGCACTGATGTTGTCCACGCTTGGCACTTGTGGTGGTTCGGAAGCGAGGCTGCAGGCCAACCTCCCTACAAGTCTCTGTGTACGCATGACCTGTCAACACGAAAGAAACGGCAAACGTACTCAGAGTGGCGCGTGATGATGGAGCACATTTCGTCAGCAATCGAGAGAAAGACTGGCGCATTACCTCCGCCCACAATGTCCGAGCAGCAGTCTGCAGTTCTGTGCGTCACTGGTGTAAACAGCCTTCCACTTGGCCCCTCCAAGCCATCACGGAGAGTCACCCAGTTGAAGGTCACGACGCTACTTCGCCTTGTGCGCCAGGTAGAACACAATAACAACCCAAATGCCCGTAGATTAGACTACAGACCCAGGAAAAAGAGGAAAGAAAACTAAATGTACTCACTCGTTGCGCTATTGATGAAGATTGCTTCTCGTATCGCTACTGTTAGCGACTTCGCTACGACGTTCATTTTGACGAATCACAGCTCACTATGGTTTTGCTGACGCACTGTCTTACAAAGGCTCGACACAAGTGATTGTCGAGAGTGAATCGGGAATTGCGCCCCCGAGTGCATCATAGAAAAGGCATTTTTTTACGCAATTCAATTGCCAGTTCCAACGTTTGTTATGCACATTTCCTATTTGCAGCGTAGTTTTATCTTTACAAACAGCATTTTCGAAACCTTTGGAAACTGTGAACATGTCGAGCGCTCACGCTCTGAATATTTCCATCTCTCTGGTTATATTCGACGGAAACGACGCTCAGGTTTGTCTAAGAAATTCCCCTTACGTATTTTAAGTCGAGTAGTTCTTTTTGGGTGGGTATAAATTCACGTGAATTTTTCGGCGCAAAGTGAATCTACTGCATAACTGGATATTTGTATCGACCCTTCATGAAATTGTGGATAAGTACCCGGGCTCTTTCAAGGAAACTGAAAGACCCGTTCAGAGAATTAAGACCGGGGAAATGCTATCATTGTATAATTAGCAATAAGCAACGGACTGTTACAGGCAATGCGTATTGCTATTGCTGATCATGATGGTCGTGGTACCAAACAAGTCGGAGAATCGTGCGTGCGACTTGGAAACTTTACCACCAGTACACTCGAGCATAAACTTAGCCTACAGGTGTGGTATGGCAATCGGATGACTGAACGCAATTACTCCATATTGAGACAACATTACTAAATCAATTTGATCCACCATGTAGCTTGTTAATGCAACAATACACCCTGTGGACCATCAAATTTCCGGATATGTTGAATGAAGACACTTTCGAACGCGAGGGGGCTAACGATATCCTAGACTATACGCTTCGCTACGCGGAACAATTAAAGAGCGCGATTAAATGCCACATACCTACGCGTGATTAACATTCTCATCACGTTGATTGACCGGAACATTGATCAGGAATGTACATCAAGACCCCTTCCAGCAAGATGACGCCCAGCACCACAGCTCAGCATTAACCGAAAGTCGAAGAAACGAACAGATAACCGTGAGGAGTGTGCGATTTATTCGATCAGATAAAAATCTAATCGGCGATCGCAATTGTTAACAGCCTTTGATTGGACTTGCTGCGCTGAGGAAGGCATCCTGCTGCAATTGCAGATAAAGTCGAACTTGGTTACCGATGCTGTTCATAACCTGTTGAATACGACTAGCTGATTTCGTTCCACCATTTTTCACTTGTAGTTTGTAGCAAAATCAAATCACCGATGCCTGTGAAGGATCCGATGGCGAAGGATCCATAACTGACCAATATTTGCCTTCAAACTCAAGTCCTTCGATTGGAAGCAGCCACATCATTGAACCGACGATGACGGCTCGATCATTCTCTTTATATTTGCGGAACGCACTTACCGCGTCCACATACAAAGGTACCTGGCTGGTATCTTGCATTAACAGGGATGCTATGCAGCTTATATCGTACTGATCGGCATGTTGCGGGATTCGCGCTCGTGCCTATCAATATAAACACAGATAGAAGTCAGTGGGGATAACTCGCAATCATTATAAGAGTACTTACAAAAGAAAAAACCGTTTCAGCAGCGTTGTTGTCCTTGCTGGAGATAAATCGCCAGAGAAGATCCCCCGCTTCGCATGCTGTGCATGCCAACGGCGTGATCGAGGTCATTTCGAAGCAGTGTCCACTCCCCACAATGTACCCGGTTTGAGTGTGAAACGTCACAGAGATATTTGGGCTCGGCGCCGGCAGAATAAAGTCAGCTTGTGGACGTAGATGCCCTAAATTGCTTGACAATTCAGATAGAATGAAATCGCTAAAATCAGGCTGAAATACCGGCCAATCGACAATTGGTAGTTGCTTGAGAAACTCCAATTCCTGAAATGAAACACCACGTTAGAGTGTATCAAATCCAATCCTTCTTGAACACAGCCAATAAATACCTCATGTGTATCGATTTGTCGAAGTCTCTTTCGAACAGACTGGAAGACCTTGAACTGCCGCCTTAAATGGCTTTCAGTTTTTGGTTCGAGTGTTCCGCCTGTATCCTCTTCTCACACTCGGCTGTCGCTCGATTTTGCCACTCTCTCAGTTCAATGTGATCAGCGCGCGATTTTGTGATCCGGTTTACCGGTTGAGCTTCGCTTGGAGCTTGACGAAAACGCGCCAACTTAGTCGTCAAATACTGTACTTCCAACCGTAGCGCGTGTAACTCAGCCTTCTTGCGACGTTGAATGGCGGTGGAGTAAGGCACCAGGCTGTATTCTCTGCGGGCTGTCGTCCTCTCACTAACGAGCTCTCTTGAACGAGGCGCTTCACCGCCACCACTCTCGACAGCAGTTAACTCAGTGTCGGAATCAACCTGCTTCGCTTCATCGTCGCTGCTGAAATTGCCGTATATGTCGTCTATCAGGTATGGCAGCCATGCTGACAACTCGTCGGAGACTCCCATCGATGACTAGAGTTAGTGTTAGTACGCAGTCAGGAAATTCAGAAGTGAGTTTGTTCCACAGAATGCAACTGTGGGTTTAAGCCTTATTTATAGGCTCCGCTCACGCAAGCATTGCTCACATGATCACAAGCCATCAGAGATCAGTGATCACTGATCACTGATCACTGATCACTCCAAGATGATAAGCTTTGGAATTGTCAGAACTTGTAGCGGCTAGAAACAATACTCATTCTCCTCGACTTCCATGGTACTCGAAGTAACTTTCTATCCTGTCAAAAAAAAAGTAAATTACCGACAAATCGACGGGGAAACGCGAGCTTTCCTACCCTAAACTGAGTCCAATTTGTCCAGTTGTTAATACACTGAGCCTATCTTTCAGCGTTCCGTTTTTGAACTTTATTTTTGGCGAACTTAAGAGTGTATGTCAGGCGACTTTGGAGAGATTATTCTTTTACCGTATTAAAACAGGTTTGATCACCCTCTAATGACATAAAGTGTCGGTGAAAATATTGGAAAGAAAAGGGTAATTTCTGACAGATTCAGATAACCAAATTTATCCACGTCACGTGTAGAAGCTAGAACGTAATCGTTCCAAGTGCATAATACACAGAAGACTGGTTAAATTTAAGGCTGTCGAAGCACATGCAAAGCAAAAGATAATACATATGTGTTGCGCTTCGTGGACTCGCCTTTCCGTACTGCTATATAGAGATAGACGAGACACCACCAGGACACTTGTCATTTAACCTTTGGGGAAATAGTCGATAGCATCAGAAGTGAAAGCAAAAACCTTGCGAGCGGTGATTTCGGACTTTACAGAGCTTTAAGCTACAGCTACAGCTTTCTCCAAATATTGCCTCGGTTAAACCAATTTTCATTGACTGGGAAGGAGCGAGTATCGCCAACCTCACGCTATTAATAAAAGGCATTCTTCACGCGAAGCAATTCAGGGTATCTCAACTAGCTTTCAACAAGAGTGGCTTAAGGTACACTTGCTGTATCTAAACTTTAGATTCTACGACATCTCACAAACCTTTTTGACGAGGCAGGAATGTATAACAACTTTGACAGCAATAAACTCACACCCGATTATAATACTGCATCGATCGTTATGTGAAACCTAATCTTTTTATATACTTTTTAAATAGGCTGGCGCTCACACTTCGACTTACATGTATTACCGTGCAGCGACTATTACGGATATGTTTCGGCTTGGCACATTGGAGGCAATATCAGAGTTTCTCGAAGGCGTCGGCGGTGGCAACGGTCTCTTTGGTATTGTGGTGGAAATTGTAGCTCGGACAGCACCTCAAAGTAATTGACTTCTGAAGAAACGTTGCAATTATCATAATACGGGGGCGGACATTGAAGCGGCTCATTTCAGTTAAAAATTCCGTTATTTCATGTATACACGTTAATTGTTACAACCGATCAACTCTTTAAAATACTATGTATTCGTAATCAGGTCTAATTCCCAGGTCAGTTATAACACTTTTTAATTTTTTTTAACCGAGGAGAACAACACACATCGACTTTCGCAGCTCAGAGCGTACGCAGCAGCATGGCGGACGACGGTCCTGCGGCTTCCCTGCCGTCCCCTGCGGCCTCATCGCCGCAGTCCTCCATCCAGACGCCGCCAGACTCGCCTCGAGACGTCGCAGAATCTGCGGCTTTCACTCCAGCCAACGACTCACTGCACCTGCGACTCAAGACTCTGGACGAGCGTGTGTTCGACGTGGAGGCCGCTTTGTCCATGTCAGTGGCTGATTTCCGGACCAAAGTGGCACTGGCCACGTCCGTTCCAGCGCCGAGACAGAGGCTGATCTACCGCGGCAAGCTGCTTAAGGATGGTGTCGCACTAGCTGCCTATGACCTGCAGGACGGCCACACGGTACACCTGGTGGCCAAGCCCCCGGCCAACACGGCCACAAGCAGCACTACACAGACGACCAATGAGGCCACGCGGCCACGCGAGGTGAACGGATCGGCTTGGAACTTGGCCAATCTGCGCTCGGCTCTCAGACGGACTGGGGCCACGACAACTACGCAGCCGTTACCGATGCTGCGGGAGATTCTGGACGAGATGGCCGAGTCTCCACAGGAGACGGCCGAGGGCATGGGACTTGGTGGCCTGAGTGGCCCGAGACCACAAGAGCAGGCCACGTCGGCCGTCGACTTGGAGCCCATCACACAGGGCATTCTGACCATGCGGACAGTGTTGTCGACTGCGGCTCAGGAGCAGGACGAGCAGGAGGACGAGAGAGTTGAAGAGGACGCGCAGGTGGATCAACCGACAGAGGGTCAGGCAACGACGCGACGTGGCCCCCGACAATTCTTCGTAGGGCAGTGGCTGGACGTTAAGGACACAGTGAATCAGTGGCTTGAGTCCACTGTGATGGCCATCGCCGACGGGAAAGTGCTGATCCATTACCATGGCTGGCCCACTAGATGGGACGAGTGGATCGACGTCGATTCGGATCGCATCGCCGCATTTCGCACTCGTACACTTCACACACAAAACACACAGCGGATGTCGCCTATTCCTACAACGAGAGTGCCCAGTGCACCGCGCGTGGGTGACAACGATGTACGTCGAATGGTGGTAGATGTGCACAATTTGATGCGAGAAATGATGCCACACATTGACCGTCTTGCCGGCCTGTGCGAAGAGGATCTGAGACGAGAGCAGGAGCGCGGCGAAGCCCACAACGAAGTAGAATCAGGCAACATTACTGCCGGTCATTCAGGGCCGGATGAGCCAACAACACTGGAACAGGGCCAGGCTCATGAGAGCGAGGTATCCGAGGTGGCCCACATGGTGGCTCCTCTTTTCGATCGATTCGGACGGTTGTTGATGGACTCAGCTCGATATTTCGACCCCTTGCTGCGTCCAGAGCTGCGAGAAGCCTCACAACGTCAACAAGAGCGACACTCAACGGCCTTACGTCGTGGCCATGGAGGCTCAGCACAACGACAAGCTGCCAGTGTCTCGGCCTCGATGGAAGCTCAGGATAACTCGCTCTCCATTCGTGATCTCATTGCCACGTCTCCAAGCACAGGGAACGAGTCCAACCAGCCGAGACGAAGCATCGATGTACATATCCACGCGATCGTCGCGCCGGCTTCGCTATCGTCTTTGGCGTCATTGACTCGAGGTAACAATGACTCTAACAACAATGAGAACGGCTCTACTCGACGCGTTGAGGCACCATCTACGCCTCCAATCGGACGCTCCTTCGGCTTTGAAGACAATCAAGACGAGGCCGACCATAGTCGCGTCCCTCTATTGGGCGGCTATCGTCATCGCAGTCACTCAAGCGAGTCGACTCAGCAACGACGTGCAGTGGCCCGTGAACTGGACGATTTCTTGTCGGATGATTTCTTCGGAACATCGTTCGGCCATGAAGAGGAAGACAGCGATGATGAGTCTGGTCCTTCTGATGCTGTGCAGTCGACGTATCGTCCTCCGTCGCCGTCCGGTAGAATTTCCTCGCCGAGAACTCCTCAAAGTGAAGGGAGTTCGCAGTTTTCTAGTGGCTCAATCGGCGTGATCCCTGAAGTTGCTGCGGCTGAGGAACGACTGCGAGCTCGAGAAGCTGAACAAGCGGCAAGTCAAAGAAGCGAAGATAATGGTCGAACATCGTCTGCTTCGGCCGCATCTTCTTCGAGTTCGTCGGGGTTTCCTACCTTTCTGGAAGTGATGCGACGTACTCTCAGTGGCGTTCGAAACTTGGTCCACAACGAGGCCAGCAGTCCATCAGAGAGGACTAACAATTCAGTGGAAATGGTGTCGAGTTTCTCGTTGCCTTCCTTGCCGTCGTCGTCGTCGGTTTCCTCTGCGTCGTCGCTGCCCACGCCGCCAGTGTCCCCAGTATTCAATTCCTCGACCGAGAACTCTATGAGCCGTCCTCGTAGTCCGAGTGACAGCAGTATCGACGAGGAACTGGACTTGGACGAAGTGGACTAAAGGCCATTTTATTGTCGTAGTTTTGTGATACGACGCGAAATACTTCGCTGCAAATGGCGGAGTTGTATATTGAATAACGGTTTTTTTTTTTATGGTGTACCAGATTGGTTTTAGCATTCTCGTTTTAGTTCACTCTTGTGTTCTCTCATTGTGGAAACCCAAGCATGACGCGTATGCAAGTTGAGATCCGTCTGGAATCCCCGAAGAAAGCCACAGCAACAGTTGAGCCTCCGCCTTCTTACGAGCTGGCGCAGAGTATGCCTTCAAGAGCAGTGGTATCGCTTTCAGCTTACAGGATGCGGTCGAATTGTACCAGCCTAAGAGATGCAGATCTCGAGTCGTTAGTCGACTTATTTGAATCTGTCGAATGTGAAAATGTTTGTGAAAAGAATAGAGAACAGAATACGGACAAACTACCAGAATGTGCAGTTGGGTTGACACGAAATGAAGCAGAGAATGCTGATAGTGGCGGAAGAAATGGAGATGGAGGCGAAGCTGGTCCGGCAGATTCGAGTGATTTTGGCAAGGAGGATCAAGAACAGCGTTCATTTGGTGACGTTGAAGGCACAGCAAGGAGAAAAGAACGACCAAACGTGATGAGGAGGGAACGAGATCGCCAAAGCTTAATCTACTATGACCAACATACGTACACTGTCATCGCGCGTCTGCGTGCCGTGAACAAGCATTTAAATCACCAATTAGAGCAACAAAATAAATTAATTGTGTCTATGGCCGAAGAGAAGAAGCAGCAGTTGTATCTGATCGAGAGTTTACGGACTGAAGTCCAGATGCACAAGCAGACACTTCGCGCTCTACACCCCTCCACTCCAAAGACACATGAGTCATTATTACCAGTCGTACCAAAACCACCACAAGTTAACTCACGAGACGAGAATGATGAAAACTCAAGAGCAAAACCACCTCATTCCGTTGTTTCTCCGTTTCGACAACCTTCGCGCACTTATCCAAGAAAGAGTCCACGAGTTAGAACAGCTCCAGAATATCAAGGCAGGCCTTGCAGTGGGAGACAGTCTCAGGACTCGCACTTGGAAATGTACATGACCAAACTGGAGAAATATGAAGAAGAACGTAAAGATTTACAGCAGCGTCACGCGCACCAACTAGCCAATTATTCTCACGAACTTTCACGCTTAGAACGACTTTTAGAAAGAGCACACGTGGCAATTCAAGAGAAAGATAACGAGTTGCGGCTCCATCGCACTCGACAACTCTATTGTACCACATCAACACGACCAAGTACCGCATCGACTCCTGTGCGTAGAAGAAATAGTAATTCTGGAATTACTACAACGCCTAACGGAGAAATTTTGCAAGTGAATAATGTTTTTTCGGACGATATTTGGAAAGGATTATTGCCCAGTGATATCACTACGGACATCTCTCGTAAGACGGTCTCTGCCTCCACTTCATCATTACCTTCCATGTCGTTTACTTCTCATGTGGGCCAAGCATTCGAGCAACTTCTTAGTCACCAACTCATGGCTTTACACGACAGTACACTGGATCGAAGTACACGCGATTGGCTTCGGGAAGTGAAGCTCTGTGGCTTGCAAATGTCATCTCTGCATCAGTCTTTCCAAGTCATGGCTCGCTCTCTTCAACGCGTGGCTGAGTGCACGCACATCTATCAACTCGCTGAGAGTTTAACGGAAGAATGTCGTGAATTACTACACGCTGAACAAGTTTTGGTACTGGTAGTTGACAAGTCAGAGCAAGAATTCTGGTGCCGTATGCCGCGTACTGAAAATAACGTAGAGAAAATGGGTACTGTGCGCTCTGCATTGCCACATCTGATCAAAGCACCAAGCTCAAAACGCCCCATTTCAGCGTCAATACCAAGTGGCTTGGCAGCATTCGTGTATCATACAAAGCGAGCATTGCTCCTCCCTGCAGGGCACATGATGAAGCACCAAAACTACTCTACAGCAACCGATAACGCTGATCGTTTGGTGACGCACCCGCACGCCTCGACTCTTCTAATTCCTATATCGCACGACAATCACGTTGTAGCTGTGGTTCAAGTATCAGGTAAACTCGCTCAAGTGCAGGCGTTGGGGCTTTCGATCGCTCTCGAAAAATGCGACGCTTTTACTCCACAAGACCAGGCTTTATTAACGCTATTGTGTCACTTTTCGAGTGGATTATTCCCCAAAGTCGCGTATTTTACCGACGTTGAGAGCAACAAAGTGAACGAAGAAACTTTCATCCAGTTGGCTCCCGAGATTTTCACGTGTCTCCACTTCGACGAACTGGGCAAAGTTGTAATCGAAAACGCGAAAAGTATCTTGGATGCAGACCGTTGTTCCCTTTTCGTTGCTGACAATGCAACTCGCACACTTCACAACTGGCACAGCGATATCAGTGGTGCAGGTGTTAAAGTTTACCAAAGATCAGCGCAAAAAGCAAGTACTGGAATGACAATTCACTTTGGACAAGGGATTGTCGGTTTAGTCGCTGAAACACAAGCGACCATCAACATTCCCGATGCGTACGAGGACCCACGATTTAACTCCGCGTGGGACAAGAAGACGCATTATCGTACTAAAAGTATGTTAACTGTGCCTATTATTTCTAATATTACGATGAATCCTAAATCTAGGACTGAACAGGCTTCAGGGGAGCCTTCAAACGACCAGACTCTGCTCGGTGTGGTCCAAGTCATCAACAAGTCTGGAGGTGCTCCATTCCGTGTAAAAGATGAGTTTTTACTCCAAACGATCTCCAAACTCATCGCTTTGGCTATCGAGAACTCGCAATTATTCCAAAGAAACCAGGAGTTGTGTTGGAATGTGGGCAAGCTGATCGCTGATGGAGATATCGTTGAAGCAATCGTGAGTCTTGGAACTGCTGCGGAACAAATTATTGGCGTTGAAGGTGCTGCTGTCTACGTCGTAGATCCGGATACTAATGAACTCGTGACGTTCCACCACAAACGACGGCATCGCATCACTTTTTCTAGATCAACTTACGCAGGGTCTTTGATGGAGGAAGCGGTGCGTTCGCAACAACTCACGATTGTCAATGACATGACAAAGGCAGGATCATTCAATGCGTTTGTGGATAGTCTCAATGGAGTTTCTGCTCGCAATGTCTTGTTCGCTCCGTTAATGGTAGAAGAAGTGGAAGGGATCATCCCTGGGATGAATAGACTTGTTGAAAATGCCGATAGTGGAGAGTCGGTATCTGTAGATTCTGGACAGATGATGGTGGGATTGTTGCAGCTTGTTAACACCACGAGACGCAAAACACACTTTGACGAACACGATTTGTTCCTGTCGATTGTCCAGAGTCAGAGTTGCAGTGTTCTGGCAGCTATTCTCGAGAAACAGCGAATGTTACGTCAGAAGGAACAAATTGCGCTGTTATTGGATGCGTCAATGTCATTTTTCAAAGAAATGAGTGTCGTCGGCGTCATTAACGCAGTCTACAACGCCTGCGTGAGTATCTTTGATGGCGACACCACTGCTCACCTGTTCGTATGGGAGGAAGGTGGCACTATCCCGGTCGACAAGTTGCACGAACGTCACATGTGGTCGTCTAAGATCGCACCTCAAGCTGCTGCAGCACTCGCTCCGCATAACTCAACTACGAATATTAATCACCAAGGCTCGAGTATGAGTTTTATTCCGTCGCTAGGAGCTCAATCGCGGAAGTTGTCAGTGGTGACAGATCAGACGCTCCGTGCACCTACAACTGAGGGGTTATTTCAACAAGTCCTTATTAAGGGTAGTGCTGTCATCGTAAAGAATTGGATCGAAGAAGAAGACGAAGAAGAAGCAGCTACCAGTCAACACAGCTCTAAATTAACCAGTACAACACGTCGAGAGAGGTCAAAAGTGGATAATTACACGATGAAGGCGACTCGCTCGGACATGCGACTCGGATTTACTCGCCATTCCGTTGTGGCATGTCCAGTTTGGAGCAGCTACGGTCAAGAGATCGTCGGTATCTTGGTATTACTCTTTCCTCGAGACCATCCAGCTGTAGCGGCGGGGTCTAGAAGCGAACAACTCAGTACACTCCCTATTCTAACACGTCAGATTTCTGGTGCGCTTAGCGTATGTCACGACCTCATTACGGTATCTGCACGTGCTCGAAAGATGCAGAATATGCTGGAACTATCTCGACAAGCTCCGAAGGCTGCAGTTTCCCTCACGTTTACGTCTCGAGGCCACCTCGGATCATTCTCTCAACCTGTAAATTTGTGCTCAAGATCGTTCAACTCTCGTGCTCTTAATACAGTCCTGCACCCTATAGCTGCTTCAAAGCTGACAGTCCATTCACTGTATATGGATGACGAAGGTCATCGTTGGGGCTTCCAGATCTCTGGTGCGACTGCGCATGAAATGAGTTGCGATCACTATGTCCAATGGATTGGCAAGCATGTGGCGCTCCCTGTTGGTCGTACTGAAGCGGAAGTGTTCGGGAAACTGCGCATGGACCTACAAGGTGTCTATATACGCAAGGAAAAGATCTCCGGTACCATCGACACCCGTCAACACCAAGTCGATGAAGTCGATTCCTCGGATGAAATTGAATCACTATCGCGATCTTTGCTATTCAAACTCCGCCAGTTGCTGTGGGAGTTTACGGATGCAACGTGGCAAGTGGATGTGACTCGTGCCAGTCACATGTTATTCGGTGAGAAGAGGATGCTGTCGAGATCAGAATTGGAGAGAGAATTGGGAGGTGCAGGTGTTTCGTTGGAAGTTGGTGAATGGGATCAAATTTATGCTTGCTTTGAAGATGACAGCGGTCTAGTAGATGTGGAAACTATGCTAGCAGCGATACGACCACAACTCAAAAGATTCCATGTGATAACGTACGAGCTTGCACCTGTACTAGACACCGTGACCCAGATTGTTGTTAGCGTCCAGATGCTACTTTTTAGTTGATTGTAGAACACTACTCGGGAGAGTGGAATACGAGCTACAGTACCACCAGCCAACGAGACTAAACGACTCGTTTAACGAGGAAGGAGACTCATGTGTATTACTGTAGTGGTAGTAGCTTAAGTTTCAACACGGAGTTGACCACGACGCTGCAGCTATCGAACAGTGAAGCAGAGTAGAGGTACGATTGAAGGCAGTTTTGGCGAATGTCACTGTCTAATGCCTTGGTGCTCATTGCAGGAGCCTGTGCGGCACGGTAAAACTTTGCCGATGTCCGTAGAGTTTTACGCATAGACCCGCACTTCGCTGACGATAATATGCAGCTTGATCATGCTGTAGCCATGTTATGCCTGGAATTGAATCAATTCATGCAGTCCCGCGTCCAGATGTACCACAATGAGGTGACCACTGTTTGCCAATTGTACCGCGCAGAGACTGTGCGCACGAAGAGCAAAGCGCGTGCCTCTGTGGTCTGCACTCCAGTCCTGCCCCGTGCAATCTCATCGTCACGACGCATTGGCCAATGAAGCCCCCACGTCACGCCGCTCTTCGGGCGCTTAATTGTTGCCCCAACGCTCTCTACGTATCCACACACCGTAATGGTTGAGGCGGAGGTGCTCCGTTGTCCCTGTACTGTTTTGGGCTTCCTATTGTTGGGCCAACAATGTTGACCACGCCCGTTTCAACGTCGTCGGCGCATCCCTTTTTTCGTCCACATTGACTTGTAACAACTAATATGAATCAATAATCCTTTCACTTGCATTTAATATTCAACTAACCCTCAAAACGCAGTATCCGTATTTTATCCGGATACACATGCTCCGATCCCCCCACGTGCGTCATTCGCCAAGTGTCCTCGTAGCTCTCAAGTCGACTAGCTAGAAACTTCCATGGCGGAGGCTGCAGCTACCGGCCAGCCCCAAGCGGCGGCCAACACCAAATACTACATGAAGAACGCTGTGTTCTCCATGATCTCGCTGTATCTTGCGCACCAGTTCGCCGGCTACATCTCCAACCGCGAGGATCCCATCGCCTGTGACGTGCACGTGAACGATCACTCGTGGTTCGGCGAGAGGCGCTACGAGTCGCTGCGGTTCTTCGACCCCAAGAAGACCCACCACGAGACGCAGTACGTAGCCATGCGTGACGGCGTCGACCTGGCCGTGGACTCGTATCTGGCCGATTATCTCTGGGAGAAGCAGCAGAAGGTGCCCACTGTGCTCTTCCCCACTCGTCACGGCCGCGGCTACACTCTGGACTTCCCCTTCAACATGTTCACACGCTACGAGCGCAAGTTCACCAACCCTCGCGTTAATGCCTACGTGCAGCGCTTCGTCACTAACGGATACGCTTGGGTCTCGGTGGATGTGCGCGGTACTGGCGCCTCGGCCGGCACGAAAGCGTTCGACTTTGCTGATGCCGAAGTGCAGGATGCCTATGACGTTATCGAGTGGATCACTAAGCAGCCCTGGAGTAATGGAGAGGTCGCTGTCTTCGGGCAGGGACTGGATGGAGTGGGTGCTCTCCTTGCAGCTGCTAGTGGCCACCCTGCTCTTAAGGCGGTCTCAGTGAACAGCGCGCCGGTCGATGTGTTCCAGGACGCGCTGTTCCCTGGCGGTATAAAGAACGATAAGGCTCTGAACGACTGGGCGTCGTTCACAGGCGCTACAGACCGTCAGATCCGCTGGAACAATATCCCGACATTTAAACCCCGACTGATGCTCAAACATTTCGGTGGCCAAGTCTACCGAGTGGACGACGATGACGCTAAATTCGATAACTACATCTACCAGCACACAAAGAACCCGGATTTGGCTCAAGAACTCCAGGACGTGCACTTCCGAGACGACAAACTCGCGTCGATCGGCGTCACTGCCGAGCAACTGGACGCTATTCGCCATCTCGGTGCAATTGCCGCTTCTGGTGTTGCATTGCAGACGTCGGCCGGTTTCTTCGACATGGGTGTGGCTCGCTCTAGTATTTTACTGTTCAAGTACCTGACCAACAGTCTGGATGCTGACACGGCCTCGCTATTGCCGGAGCTGCCCAAAGAGGCCTTGGAGGCCATTGAGAAGGACGCAACTCACCACCGACTCACACTTGGACCGTGGAGTCACGCTGGTGTCGACAACGCCGACCCGTTCGCTCAGTCCAAGCAGAAATGCTTCTACCACTTGGACGAAGTGAGTCGCTTCTTCGACCACCACATGTATGCTAACCGCCGCAAGATCACCAAGATCGAGGACGAACTCCCTGTGCACTACTTCACTATGGCGCACAACCGCTGGAAGGAGGCGAGTTCGTGGCCACCGTCTTATCTGAGTGACGAGACGTTCTACCTTAACGCCAACAAGGAGTTCCAGGCGGAACCAGAGAGTGAACAAAGCGAAGTAACCCACAATGTTACGGTCAAGCCGACATTGGACGCGGTGTCGCGCTGGAACATGCTGGACCACCTCTTTGGTCTGCGTCCCATGTACTACCACGACCGCACGCCTCTGGCTGACCAGTACGCAACGTTCCTTACGTCTGAATTGCCACTGACGGAGATCACGGGGGAGGCCGAACTGCGTCTCTTCTTCTCAGTCGACCAACCCGATGTCAACCTCGTGGCTTATCTTGAAGATGTTGACTACACGGCTCCGTTCCCGAACGAGAACAAACGTCCTGGCGTGACATACATCACTGAGGCGCTGTTGAACCCCGTACACAAGACCATTCGCCCAGATTCGAGTGTTCACTCGTTCAAGCGTGCAGACTCGCGTGAGATCGTCCCTGGTCAAGTATACGAGGCTGTTCTCCGCTTCCAGTCCACTTCGTACGTTGTAAAACGCGACCACCAGATTCGGGTGTCTGTGGGTGTTGCTAGTCCGCCCGATTTCGGCTCGGCTGGCGAGAAAGAGGCCACAAAGCTCACTATCCACTTCGGAGGCGCCTACCCTACCAAACTTACACTTCCGTCGTATACAGGTGTATATAACGCCAATGTGGTGCCTCGCGCTGAAGTGGTGGATGACCTCGAGTCGATCCCGACTGAATCTACCGAGAAACCTTCGGAACAAGACGAAGTGGACGAGTTCGCTGAGGTGCCTGAGGCCAAGGACGAGTTGTAGGCAAACAAGTGGTGACAGGCTAATACTTTGATGCTTATTCACGGAAAGTGAATCGTACTTCGAAGTAAGAAATAACTAGTCGATCTTTAGGATAAAACTCGGTTACTGAACATTGTGCTATGTTTTCGAGGTAGAGTTCGTATTCAAAGTAGTGCCTGTTTCGTTGGCAGAGAACATGTAAAGTGCGTTACTACAGATTGGGAAGCGATTTTTTTTTTTTACCAGTTTCAAGTAGTCCGAGGAATGGCCCGACGTCCACTAAGTGAGCGATTACATTTCCCGGAGAAATATGGACTACCAGGACTTAAAAAAAAACGGTTCTCGTTGACAAAATCGAATCGAGCGAAACTTGAAACCGAATAGACAGTTCGTTCGATTCGGTTTTCTTGGAACAAGATAAACCGAATTGCATGTATTAATACTTGATTTTCTACTATTTGATTAGAAGTGCTTTGAGTACTAATCAAATCGAAAAACATTTTTTTAACAAGGTACAATGTCCACGCCAAGTATGTTTTTCGTGGAGCTTGTAAAGACCCGATACGACCAGCGGCGTCATTTACGCCTTGAAATCCGTGGACGTCGTCAAAGTCAATCCCTTTGTAGCCATATCCTTCAAGAATTGCTGTACCACACAACAATCAAAACTCAGCAAACCGTAGCCAATACAAAAACGCAAAATCTACCGCCCATGTTTTCTACAATACGTTTCTTACATGTTTTAAACCATGAATGGCCATGTTTGTAAAATATAATAAATTACTGATTTTAAATTACTGATTTTTCAGCCACTCAACTTTTGCCGCTCGTCGCCGGAAGCTCGAACCATCCCCCTCGACGACACCGCGCGCTTTCGGTCTTCCCGCCCCCCGAACGGCTCCTGAGAGGTCTAGTTGTGCCCCCCCCCCCCCTCTTCGCCGTAGTGCGTGGCTGCAGGTACGTGCGCATTGTTGACTGTTTCCGCCCAGATAAGGTCGCTAACTCGGTGGTTCTTTGGGTTCGTTTGCATTTGTATAGTTTTCGCCTCGTGGTGAATTACTCCGGTGTTTCCTGTGGCATCTTCTTTCGTCTATTCGGTGCGTAGCAAGTCTATTCATTCGTGGTTATGTGAGTTTGCTGCTACAGCGTGAGTTGCTATGCGTATTAACGTGCAGGTAATATTTTCTCGTGAAGGACATCATCTAACGGGCCCGCTCACGTGTCGAGCCGTATCTGCATCGTGGTGGATGGGCCCAAGCAAACTGTGTACTGATACGACAGTACAAACAAGCGCGCAAACCACAACCTACTTGCTGAGCTAGCAGACGAGTTGGTGAAGAAGAGTCTCCCCCAAGGATACAGTATCACCCCCATTCATAGCCCGATCCAGAAGGATGGATACAACTGCGGATTATTCATCTGCTTGTATTTCTGGCGCCGATTCTGGAAGGAAGCAGGCAGTGATTACACGGAGACCGGGTTGGTGCGCCGTCGATGGGATGTTATGCATTTGATCGTGGAGTTTAGCGACGGCAGCAAGGAGAAGGAGACTGTAGCTGCGTAGGCACAACTTCTAAGGAGAAGGAGACTGTAGCTGCGTAGGCACAACTTCTAAGGTTTACCATGATTCACATGCTTTTTACATGTTTTTAGGTGCGCGCCATGTTTTCATATTTTTCTTGCTTTCATGCTTCGACAACTTTCTCACATGGAGACAGGAAGTATGACAAATGGTAAGTATATTTATGCCATTTAGCAGTGGCATGCCTTCCCGACAATACGAGTCCCCTGTCATTCTTCAATTTTCATGCCATTCGGCCAACATGATTGCACATGCCTCAACATACCGCAAACATGCCGGAGATAAATTTCATAGATTTCGTAATTTATTTTGGCAAAACATGGACAAAACATGGAATACATACTTAACGCCCATGTTTTGGATACCTAACCCTTATAGAAAACATGGGCGGTAGCACCCGCCATACAAAAATGATAAACGAGAGTAATTACCTCAGCCTCAAATCCAGCCACCGGCGACGAGCAATCCGTCAGGATAACCAGATCACTCAGTCTTTCAACCGGCCAATTGGTCACGAGGTCGCGGACAGTGAAGTTCACGCAATGAGACAGCGCCTCACCCACGATGACGAGCTTACCCGTACGTTGCAGGGACTTGATCAGAGAAATGTTCAAACTGCAAACCAGTTTAGTAAGAAATGAGATAAAAAAAAATACTTTCATCGTCGACGGATCATAGGGGAGTTCATACTCCGCCTTCAAAGCAGAGTAGTGCTCAGTAAACGGATTGCTGCCTTTCATCACATATTGGATCGGCTTCAGCGACTGCTTCGACCACTCAAGAGCAGACTCGAGCACGTCAGGAACGATGTTGTGGCCCGGTGATCCGATAAGGCAGTGCTCCGGCCAGATTGTTAGTGAAAACTTGCCGCTAGCCTCCAGTGACTGATCGTACGTCAACACGTAGTCGTTCAAACTCGAGTCTCGTGGCTTCCAGACGCCATCCGTGATATTCTGCGCGAAGATCGTCGTGAATGGACTCGGAGACTCCCAACCTCATTCTCCCAGAATATCCCGTGTGCAGCGTTGGTGGGAGTCCATAGTCAAAACGACTTGTGATAACTCGGATGTGTGATTCGAGATGAACGCAGCAATGCGAGCAGCATCTTCCTTGGCAGAGTCAATGGCGAGGGATCCTCCTGGATGGAAACTCACTTGCTGGTCGATCACGAGGATGCCGAGTCCACCTTGAGGGATTTCATTCGCCAAGCGAGCAGCCCTCTCGACGTCGCTCTCGATCACAGAACTGCAGTCGTCGACCTTTGCTGCCATAGTAGATAACAGCAACGCAGCGCAGGAAGCAATCCAACCAAGTTTGAAGTGGAGCATGGTGCTTGAGCGTTGAAGTGTTGAGGAACCGGAAGTTTGGAAAGTGAGTCTTCAAACAGCAAACGATGTTGTCGGCCCAGTACGTCTTGGAACACATTGGTACACGCTAATGCCTATGTGTTTCTCTGAACATGATGCCCATCGATGCTGAACCAACAGGATGATATTTGTATCGCTCTGTTAACAAATATCTTGAAGTGCTTTATTGTTTCACGTGTCAACTTAAGTGAGTTTCGAATCGTTTGGTGGGTACTTGAGTATGTTTCAATTGGTCGGCATGTGCCTCCTGAATGGTTTCCGGCTGACAACCGCAGGGTGACCAATAGCAACGAAACGTCGGCAGAATACAATAAATATTCCACAGGTTGGTAAAGTGAAACTGTTCTTCGCGATCCTTAGAGGAAAAGTCTTGAACCGCATAACACACGATCCCGAAGCGCGAGTCTTTCAGCATCTCGCTGAGTTTCGTCCGTCCCCTCCATTGGGTAACTTTGGTAACGCAAGCAAACCGTGCCATGGTGTTTCACACTGTCTGGGCCCACCGCGTCAGGTCGACCCCATCCAGGTGGTGGGAGTACAGAGAAACCCTCCGTCGTTTGATCACTGCCAGCAGAAGCGATGTTTGGGCGATATGAAGCGTTCTGCCAGCTAGAAGTCTGCAGTAATATATATATATATATATATATATATATAAGTATGTTGAATAGTAAAAAAAAAAAAAGGATAAGCACGTACTCCTTCTTGTAATGCGAGCTGTGCTAGTATTTGTACGAGTTCGCGTTCATCGTAAATACTCAAATCCAGTGGCGGATATTGTCGTTCTGGCAGTACTGGATCTAAAATATTTAGCCACCCAAGCCGCTTAACACATTCTTCTTGATCTTCAATCGACAGACCGTCATATATCTTCACGAAGAACAACCGTTAATTACCTCAAAATCCGTAAGATTTAATGTTTTCTTACCTGGATAAAATTCTCAATATCAACAATGCGAGAGAAAATTAGACAAGCTGCTCGAGCACGAGCTCTGACTGCGTTCGGGAATGCCGATACCAAGTCTTGTGCTTGGGCGCAGGTAAGCCATCGATCAGCCACCAGAATCTCCAATAGTTGTAATTTCTGATGTAAATTCTCCAATGTATTCGTAAGTCGATCCATCGTTTCTCCAGCGATACTTCTTCTCTTGTTTTTATTCCGCTTCTCAGTAACGCGATGAGTCTTTACAAACCTCTTCAAAAGCTCCCAACGCAGTATAGCCTGTGTCCTCTTCTTATCGTTAGACATAGCTAAGTCTTGTTCCTGGTCACGGTGGTCTTCACATAGAGCAGATATATCACTCTCGCCCGGCGGTTGTACCAATACAGCAGCCAATTGTTCAAATCTGCGTTGACTAAGAGGTTTCGTGCCTCGTGGAGGCCGAGTTGTACTCACGTAATAAAAACAAAGTTTCGAAGATGGAAGCAAAGAGCGTTCTACCGGTCCTAGCAGCTTGTTGAGGATGTAGGAACTAGAGAGTAATACCGGTTCACCGTCTAACGTAGCCCATCTGAAGTTCTCCCAATTGCCACTTTGTGACGTATCTCCACGTCCAGATCGCCAACGACTGAACTGCTTTTCCTCTTGAGCAATCAGTGCTAATCTACGTAAAGCCACTTGATGATCCTCGCGATTGAGATCAAAAGAATAGGTGTTGGTGAGAGATCCTACCAGTACACTATACAGCTGAGGTCCGATCCAACGACGCAATGCAAGACGCTCAAGCCATTGGTTGTGAATATCCACGATACGAGTCACCAGACTAGCCGCTTCACGGTGATCAATAATCTGGGGCAACAGCTTCGCAAGGGCGACCAGTCTCCTACCCGGTCGGACGGTGGACGAAGCTACCCCTTGTCGAGTAAGAAGCTGCTCTCCTTGTACTGCAGATAAAAACAACCCGGATTCGGCGAGAACGCTATGTAAAAATTCCGTTTGTTCTGTTATATTTCGGCTGATACTTGACGCATTGACAAGGAATCTCGATAGCATATTATCTGGCATCAACAAAGAGTCTGATGGCGGGTAAATTTCGCTTGAACTTCCACCGGTATTGCTATCAACTCCACCACTATGAGCAAAATCAGCGGTGAGTTGACCAACGTTCGGAATCTGCCAGCTCGCTCCAGAACCAACTTCACACGGTTCAAGTCTTGTCAACTTGGCTTCCTCGTTTTCTTTATTTTTCTGTGCATCTTGGACTGTAAACACCTCGGAAGTCATAAATTCAAGGAACTCGAAAGCATCGATTTCCCCTGAACCATCCAGATCGTACTTAGAAATCATTCGAGCAATATCATCATTGACTTCGAGTTCTTCTGTCACACCCAGTAGTTGAAATACACGTCGAAGCTCTTCTGTATCCAACGAACCCGAATTATCCGAATCAACAAATGCAAACCCAACTCGTGCGAATAAATCGCCAAATTCACGTTTGTGAAAAGAACCACTTTTGTCATAATCGTATTTTTCCAGTAAACCCACGAGTTGTTCATCACATACATCAATCCCACAGCTACGTAATGCGTCCCCAAGCTCATTAAACTCCACAGAGCCCGATCCATCTTCATCAAGTCGCTGAAACAACAATGCCACTGGATTCAGGGATTTCCCACTGCTAGTGGTATCGATTGTCTCCATCGAAGCTGAGGAAGGAATGATACGTCGTTTAACCATTTCGAGCTTTGTCACTTGTCCTCTCTGTGTCAACGCGTTATACTCGAGTTTTGTAAAGTGGAAACGTGCAGGATGTGACACTGCAAGTCGCAATAATTCGTGCGCGACCATGTGCTCGTAGGCGTCACTGAGGTCCAATACGTAGCTGCCTGCTGGGTCCACCGGGTTAAATACATGCAATTGCTCATCTCCTGTAGCTGCTGACATCTTTGGGGCCGAAACGTTTAAGCTACAATCCAACAGGGACAGTTGACATACAGTTGACGCTTCTCCCGTGTTTGGTCGTGGCGCACAACTGGCATGCATAAGAGCTTTACCACCCTGAGCTCCAAGCGGATTTCCGTCTAAAGTCAGCATCGACAACGATGAATTCACGGCTAAACCACTGGCTAGACCCACAGCTCCTCGAGAAGTGATGCCGTTGTAACTTAACGTCAGTTTCTTTAACCGAGCGCCTGCGCGTAAAGCGTGAGCTAGAGACAACGCTCCTTTATCCCCCAACGCGTTGTAACTCAAATCAAGCTCTCGTAATTGATAGTTCAACGGTAATGCAGCAGCGATGAAGCCACATCCAACTGCACGCAGTTGATTCCATGATAAATCCAAGTGCTGGAGTGTCAGATTGGCTGTGAGCATGCTACCGAGGGCCTGTCCCCCAGTCAAGAGCTTTGTAGGCTTTGCTTCCTCTTCTTCCTCGTTTTCATCAAAGGAATCCCCTCCTGTACCAGTAAGCACTTGTAACCCTATCTGGTTTCCACGGAGCAAAAGCCGATCAATAGATTTGTTGTATTCCAAAGCTTTCGCTAGTCGTGCACACTCGTGATCACTCAGCGAGACTTCATTCAACGCCAACATACGCAACGTACTCAAGTTAGAGCGTATATACCCCCGAAGGATGTTTGCTGCATCGACGCCGATCGGATTCGACGATATGTCCAGGGACGTTAAGTGCGGTTTGTTCTCCAGTGCTCGCAATAAGCAGCTAATCCCTGCATCGGTCAATCGGTTGTCACACACATTAATACACTCGACAAGAGGCAATTCTGGTAAACACGCAGCAAATCGCACGATAAAGTTGTCTCCTAGACCCTGGTGACTGAGGTCGAAGGTCCGTTGGTTATGTTCCTTCCTTAGTAGAAGCGTCGGGGCTGTTTGACTCCCTGCAAGACTCGCACCAAGGAAGAGCGTACGTGGTGAACGCGGTACAGACGATACCAAGTCCGTTTCGCCTCCGACAGATATCTGCGCTTGTTCTAACGTCGGTAGCGATCGTCGCATTCCCGTCGAGCGTCTTCGACCAGTTACAGTTGAGTTACTTCGTATTGAACCTCGGTGATGATGCTCATGTGTGTCACGATCAACAAAGAGGTGAGGCTTGCTGTGCAGCTCCCTGTACATTAAATAGTACGAGGTGCGTGCATCCGGTCCAAAATACTTCAGTTTTGTGTTGGAACCACCGACTTCTATGTCCATTTCGGACTCCCCTTTCTTCAAACCTTCTCGAGCATCCGCCGCATCTTGTGCTGCGATTTCAGACAACATCCGTGGGTCATCCAAAGGTGCAAATACGAATGTGTGACGTTGTAGTGGAGATGACTCATTGATGACGTTCAACGCTTCAACCCGACGAGGTTTCTGTTCTTTGCGTTGTTGTCTGTGCTCTTCCAGCATCTTTTCCACTTGGTCGAAGGATTCCTCGACCGTCATCGGATACAAACCATTCCCTGCTTTCAACTGCGTCTTCAGACGTACAGGAGATGGATACGGAACTGGTAGCGCGGTATTTGTCGATTGCGCCGTTAATATAGGAAGTTTAATCGGCGATGCTAATGGAGCTAAAGTGGAAGGTACCGCTGGTGGTCTTGTAGCGTGTTTAGAAGTGCGAAATGATGGACTAACAGAATTATCGAGCATGCCTTTGTCCCAACTCATACGACCAAGAAACCGCGTTGGAGACTGCGATCCCGATGTGGAGCCATTCTTTAACAGCGTAGTTAGTGAAGATACCCTAGAAAAATGGTCAATATAGTGACGTACGTGGTGCGGAACTGGCGGTAACTGAGTGTCAACAATTCGCTTCGACATGATGGGGTAAACGGAGGCCGAGGGCCAAAATAGGTTTAGCTATGTTGAAGTGACGTGGTAGAGTGTAGCCATGTGTCTCAGTAGAGTACTTGGTGTAAAGTGGTGTGGTCTACATAACCGCTCCACCAGCCAGCCATTCAGCCACGCACTTGTCTCTTTTCTCCCTCTTCGACGTCATATCCCGTCCTGCCCCCAGCAGCTCAGCATACAGCGTACAGGTGCTTCACTACACACAGCAGAAAATGGTGCGCGGCAAGAAGATCGGACTTGGTGAGTTCCTGGGTGACCAGGCGGCGTCTTACATCCCGGAGGCGGCGCTTCCTTCGGGCCCGCGTGCTCGCGCTGACGACGATGATGGAAACTACCGTGGCGGCCGTGGCGGCGACCGCTTCGGCGGCGATCGCTACGAGCGCGAGCCGTCGCGCAGCGAACAGTCAGACCAGTGGCGTGGAGACCGCGGTGGCCGTGGCGGTGGCTTCGGAGACCGCGGTGGCCGTGGCGGTGGCTTCGGAGACCGCGGTGGAGACCGATTCGGCCGCGGAGACGACAGCGGCAACTGGCGTGGCGGCGGCGACCGCTTTGGCGGCCCTTCCCGGTACGACCGTCCGTCGCGCGACGAGTTCCAGGCTGAGGAGCGTCCGGCCCACATGCGTCTGAACCTGGCGCGACGCGGCGAGGGCCCGAACTCCAGCGGCGACGTGCGTAACAGCAGCGGAGGCGACAAGTGGTCGAGCGCGTTCGGCGGCGGCAGCCGCTTCGGAGACCGTGGCAGCGACCGGTTCGGCCGTGACGACCGATTCGAGGGCCGCGCGGGCGGCCGCTTCGGCCGTGGCGGAGACGAGGGTCTGTCGTCCGGTATGTTGAACTTGCGCGTGAGCGGCCGACAGGAACAGACGCCGGCCGAGCCCGAGGTGTTGGACAAGAAGGCGCGTGCCCAGCAGAAGCGTGAGGAACGTAAGAAAAAAGCCGAGGAGGAGCGTCTGGCAGCTGAAGAGGCCAAGCGCGTGGCCGCTGAAGAGAAGAAGAAGGCCGAGGAGGCCGCGGCCAAGAAGGCGGAGGTCGACCGGGAGACGATGAAAAAGGTGCTGGCCAGCGGCAAGAAGGGTGAGGAATTGGCTGAGGTGGCCAAGGAAATCTTCAAGAAGAACGGCCGACCCAGCGGCGCTGTGGTCTTCGAGGCCGTCACGGCCGCCGCTGAAGACGTGGCCAAGTCCAGCGCCAACTGGATCGCCCTGCCTGCGTACGGTGAGCTGCTGAAATTCGCCATGGAAGACTCGGACAAGAAGGACCAGATGGAGGCTCTGTACGCTCTGCAGGTCTTCTTGAACAAGTACGACTTCCCTAAGGGTCTGATCGAGAAGTGCTTCATGGCGCTCTACAGTTTGGACATCATTGACGAAACTGGTTTCTTCGAGTACAAGTACGACGTGGATGGAGACGTGCCTGGGCGCATGAAGGCTATTATCCAGACGTCCACGTGGCTCACGTGGCTTGAGACGCCTGAGGAGGAGAGCGACGAGGAGGACGACGAATAGATTTCATGAACGTTTGTTTTGAGAAGGGTAACTTACGGCCATCTGTCTGTTAAGATACAACTTTGAATGAATAAGTGCATCGACCATACCAACATCTGTCATAAAAATTTCTCACGAATCGCGCGCTGTGACCGACGTCACCATGTCTTGGATCGTCGACATGGGCGGTCGATAAATTTCAGGAAGTAATTTTCGCTGCAAGGAATTGAACGAGTACTTGTAGCGACCAACATTCTTCTTGGCGACGTGGATGCGAACGCCGAACTCTCGCATCATATTAGCGACCTCTTTGACCTCTTCCAGCGGTCCGTACTCGGTAGAACTCCCCGATTCGATCTCTTGTAGCACATGTCGTTTCCTTTGAACAAGAAGACGAGCTTGCTCCAGTGTCGTGCTCATGGCTGTTCGATCTTTCCCTGACTTGCAGTACGTTACTCGGCCACCGTTTAAACTACGCACCGCATCGGCAGCATGGAGTAAAATACACGTATTTTTCGACGCCGAGTTCTCGCTCTCCACACTGACGCGTAAATTACGCAAGATCTCATCAGGATGTGAGCCAACACTCACTTCGGACATACCAATGCCGCAAATCTCAGTGAAGCGGTTGTAGTACTCCGATATAGTGCGGAAGCTCGTGCTGTTGATCTTACGCTGGATAGAGACGCCCGAGTGGCCCACCATGTTGGCCAAGCTCTGCATTTCGTTGATTCCTTGCGTAAATAACACCGACGTGACACTGATCAATTCTCCACTTTTCAAACTCTCAGGGAGCAGTGCGAATTGAGCTGGAGGCACCGGGATTTTGATGATATAACCTACTTCTTCTTTCTTCTCAACCACCACTTCCATGTCTGCTCCCTCGCAGATCTTGAAGGAGAATGTCTCTAAGCATTTGATCGCCACCCAAGCGTCCGAAATCATGTAAAGCTCCTTCCCATGCGACGAGATGAGACTCTCCCATCCGATCAAGAACCCGACCTTGGCCATTTGATTTAACACCTTGTCATTTCGCTCTTGAAGACACAAGTCTAACTCCGCCATGAAGCAGGTCACAAGGCTGCTCACAGACTGCGAGACCGCTACACTCTTGCGTAGATAATAGTCCGAACGCAGCATTTCCAGACGACACACCATTCGTACAGCGTAGTTAATAGACGTTGTCGGGTCCACTCCTTCTTCCGACTCGACACGAAGCGACGGATATTTGGCATACACAGCGGTCTTCTCGTCGCTGTTTTTTTGGTCAAGTTGCCGCGAGCTCTTCTTCTTCACAAACCGATTCTTTGACAGTGCCTTCGCTCGAGCCGCCGAAGCCCTACGAGCCATCATAGAGTACTTGGAGGCTTTCTTCTTCGGCGCAGGCTCCACTGCAGTCGTGGAAGCAGCTGCAGTTGGACTCGTTTGACCACTAGAGGCAGGCGTGTCAGTGTCATCTTCACCCTCTGCTTCGTTCTCATCTTCCAGCGGCGGATAGAAAAAGTCGGAGGAATCTTCTGGAATGAAGCAGTTGCTATCACTTACCGGACTTCCTACCAATCGAGGTGTACTCTTTTCCAATGCTGTTTGATAGTTCTGCATTTCCAACTCCATTTCACGCAGACCACAGTCACTTAGTCCCATTGCATGTGCTGTCGGAGCACCACAAGTTACTGTTGCATGGGTCTCCGGGATCATCGCACGCTCTTGCATCGACAACGATTGAAGCGAAACAGGTGCGCCAAAGTGCGCGTCGCTATCATCCAAGCCAAGCAAATCTTCCGTTGATGCTTGTGTATTTATTGACGGATGCGATACAGACTGAGACCCAAAATGCCGGAAAATACGGAAGTACGAGACGTGCAGATTCGTCGGGATTCCTTGAATGTCTGCACGCTTCTTGTGTAGACTAGACTTGAACGTTTTCTTCTCCTCAACCAAATGTTCTGTCAGTCGAATCATATCTGTAACTTCTGTGATCTGCTTGCGAATATGTAGCACATGAGGATACAAAAAGTTTAGAGGAATCTCGCTTTCAAGGACACCATCACTCGGAGGTGGCGAACAGTCTGCAGCTCTTCTGTATCGTCTTGGGAGAGTTGAAGAAGGCTCCAACGCGTGACCAGTGAGGAGGTCATCGCTCGCTGGTTCAAGTGGATTAGCGAGCAAAATATTAACGCGAAGTTGAATCTGGCCCAAAATTTCATCAGTCGACGGTGAACGCACATCAAACCAGTCTACAAGCGTGAGAGAAGTCACGATTTGGTGCGACTTGGACTCGTGGTTCCCGTCCCCGTTGCCTTCGGTACCATCGTCATCATCAAACACAGTTTTTTCTTCTACTACCATGGCATCGCGTACACTCTGCAGCGGGATCATGACTTCCCCAATCAAGTCGTTCTCGACTCCACTCATGTAGCCATAATGCTCATTGAATACTTGGAAGCGTAACCAACCAGCAAGAGGCTGATCAACCAGACTGGGTCTATAAAATACAAACTGCTTCAGTGCGTTTACAGGAGATACAACCACGCGGCTCTTCAACACTCGCGATGCGTGATACTTAGTATTGGGTTTTCCATGAGGACATTTAGTGCCGGCATTTTTGTTCGTTGACCAAACGGGATTCGTCGAATCATACTCAGTGTTGGTCTTTCCCACAGTATACTCGTGATTTCCGACCACACCATCTTCAAACTTTACCACAACGAAAGGATGGACACTACTGCTTGTTTCGACTCCCGCTTCAGCTGTGTCAGGGTCATTGCTGCTAAACGACGACGATGAAGCATTACTACCACCCCATTTACCAGCCTTTATCCGGTTCACAAACCCTCCTCGCCCGCCCACCATACTCCCCATCGAAAAGCCTGACGTACGCGATGATCGTACATCCAACTCACTCGTCATCTCCGTCTCAGCACTTGCTGCACCATTAACACTCGATTTCGTCTTCAAATCACGTCCACACACTACCTGCACGCGGAAAACGTCATGCCCAAAGTTAAGCGCCTCTGCGTCGTTATCAAAGTAGCGATTCTTCTTGCGGTTGTAATTATAGCGCAACTTCCACTCATCGTACATTTGCAGCAACTCGTACTGACACACTCGAAGTAATTGCAACGGGATCTTGACACTAAAATCCACCTCAGCGGCCTCTTCAACCGCCAATTTCGCGTTCGCGGCCTGCATTTCTGCATGTTCCTCCTTCATCAACGGGTAGAACATAAAGCTCCTAAACAAATTATGCTGCGCTTTGAACAACGGGTGTTCCTGCGGTTGAATATTGGCAAACTGCAGCTCCACAGTCGCTCCATCCAGCACCGTTGAGTGCACCGGCAGCGTCATCTTCTGCTTGTAATTGCCGCTGGTAGCCACTGTATACATCTCCTGGAAAGACGTCAATGCGTATCCGAACACTTGGCTGTTCTTGTTGGAGGATGTGCCTTCGTCCGGGATCATCACCATAATCTGCACATGTCGGTCGTACTCTGCCGGGTTCTTGCAGCGGACACTGAAGCCCACTGAGAACTTGGGGTTGCGACTTTTATGTCGTTCACTCCAGTAGCTCTCACTGTCTAGTAGTCCGTCGGCGGGAAGTGCCGCTTTGTCCGAGAATCCTGTCCCCAATTCCCCGAAATTGTCCATCTCGAGCGTCAGGCCACCGCTGCTGGGAGCAGATGGAGGCGTAACTGTCTGCTGTGTTGGGATGTCTGCACCAAAGCCGAAGATCGGTGTCTCCCGCGCAATACGCACCTCGACGTTGACCTCGGTTGGGGGCTTGGCACGAGGAGACTTGGTGTTGTTTATGGCCGTGGCGTTGCTCAGCATATTGAAGGCACCACGCACCAGCGTCTGTGCTGAGCGCGCGGGAGACACAAGCGAGTTGCCATCCACGCTGCGACAAGAGACGAAGAAGTGGAGGACCTTGCGGTCCTGCTCGACGTCGCTTGGAGAGATCTCAACGGGGGAGATCGGTGCGACCAGCGGGAAAGACTCGACGCTGTCAGCTGAGGATACGGACGCTGGTGCGGCGGGGATCACGATAGCTGGCTCATCGTCGAATACCATTAGGTTGGGACTCTGCGGCGCTGCCATGTTGCCCCACTTCGGAACGGAGTGAACGTCGTGTTCACACTCGAAGATAGCTGCTTGAACGGACGTGATGTGGTGCACACGAATAATGATGTCATGTTTTGGACGATGTTACTATCATTTTCATAAACGTAAACAGACATGAACTGACACGATACTGTACTAGCTGTAACTTCAAGCAGTTGTTTTCTTTGGGATGGGGAAATTTAAAGTAAATGACGGCCTCAAATTAAATGACGAACAGCGCCATCAATTTCTCTAAATTTATGGACTTTGCGACTCAACCGTTTTTCGCGTTTGGCATGGTTCCGGTGTCAATCCGGTTCAACACCGAAAACGCACAAAATTGTCAAAGATGATCAAAGATGACAATATCCAATAAAATATACGTCAAATGTCATTACTCCAGCATTAATGTTGAAATTACCAAATAAAAATATGCATATCTCCTCCTAGTTCTCGTTCTCAGCAGGCTCGCCTTGCTGAATACCAATTGCCTTGTACAAATAGCGCAGTCGCAGGTATGG